TTATTAATTTTATAAAGTTCTGTAGAAAAAGAATTTTTCTAGTAATATCCTTATTGTATAGATTTTATTTGTTCCAATTCATTCGTTATAGTCGCTAAGTATTCTTCAACTTTCATTAATTGTTCGATGATATTTGTATTACTCCACTCTTGTTCCTTGACTTTTTTCACGACTCCTAGTAATGACAATTTAGCGCTTCCTAACATCTTCCTTTTCTTAATAACTGCAATATCAATAGTACAACGTAAATATGCTTGTGCTAAATCACAACATAAATTCAGCACATTTAAAGTTGCAGCTTCGTTATGACTCCATGGATTTGAAGTGATAAAACGATATGCTTTTTGTAGGTACTGTGCCGCTTTCTCTTCGTCAATGTCTGTTTTTCTCAATACGACAAGTTCAGCGTACATTCTCCAAATATCTGGATTATTAACTATAATAGAGGTGATTCTTCCAAATAATTCCAAACTATTTTGAAGCAAACGAGATGCTGGATTTCCGTTTGCATCATTAATATTATTTACTATAGCATTTGTTAATATCTGGAGAACTTGAACATCTAAATGGTTCTTTTTCAAATCCAAAATACGATGATAACATCGAATAACCTGTAAATAAATTATTTAAAACTATTAATAAGATATATTTAATATAAAAATTTAACTATATCAAAAAAATACAATTATATATGCGTGTGTATATATATATATATATAAAATTCACTTTTAATATATGTATACATGAATTTTATAATTTTAAATGTTAATGCTTTTGCAATTAGCTTAGATATTTAAACTGAGAATTTTTGTAAAAAGAAGTGTAAATACGTACTTCCGAAAAATGTCCCAAATCGATGCTTACGATCATTAAATTATCCCATACTTGCCAACAATCATAACAAGATGCTATGGCATCATGTAAAAATTTCCAAGCTGTTGTTTTATCTCCCAATTTTATGTATGCTGTTGCTAAATTGTTCCATGCTTCAAAAGACTGAAATTTTTAGATAGAACAAGATTTTTATGAAATTCATATGTCAACTGTAAAATTATCAAATATGTGTACGTACACATTGTTCTAAAGAACAGTAATGTTTATATGCCTTAGCAGCCAATTTCCAATCTTCTATTTGTAATCCTGCATAGCCTAATTTAAACCATACATCTTCCTGAATATTATTCAGTTCAACTGATAGCTTTAAATGTGGTATTGCTTCGACATACTAAAAATAAATATTACATTAAGTTTTGAATAAAAGGTTTACTTTGGCAGTTAGTGACTCAAATATTAACATTTTTCTTTGCAAAGTAATACAATCCCCAATGTCTTTGTACTCTACTGCTTTTTTCCTCGGACAATTTCCATGCCACTTCATAATGACTCACATCACCAGTTGCATCTCCTAACAGACACCACAATTTTACCGTTGGCTTCTTAGATATTTCCTGCTCGATAATCTCAACTGCCTGAAAACGCGTTCACATAAGTTATTTATTACATAATTTTTTATCATAATATAAAATATATTAATATAAAATATACCTTATGTTTCAAATTTAATACGTTATAACAGACGATCACATCCTCCCACAGTTCTAGTTTTATAAAAACTTCCAGAGCTGCTTTTACATCACCAAAACTGAACAGTAGATTACCCCATTTTTCCTCCAATATCCAAATCGGTCTCATACCACTTGCAAAAAATAAATCCAATCTTCTGACTACAGGTGTTTTTACATCATTGTAATCATTTATTAGAGACTCTGTTTGCTTCATAGATCTATTAACAGTTCTCTTATTACCAGACTCCGATGAGCAACGATAGTACAAAGAAGTCATCTTCAACGACCAATTTTTTGTACTCTCAATAACTTTCTATAAGAAATATTTCTTAATACTATCTATCAATAATGAACCATTACATTAAATATTTATGAATAATCAATATTATTCATAAATAATAAAGAAAAAATCATGTTAACATTATAGCTTACACTTAGATAGGGTCTGATTTCCTCATCAGTAATTTCATATGTAGGTTGACACAACTGTAACTGAATACTGTTAACTATTAAAATCGCTCTTATATTAATGTTTACGTGCTATAATTGATATAAATATATACTTACTATTTTCCTAAAATTATTGCTTCTTCTATCATACCTAATTTAGTCTCTTCTTTATGTTCTGAAAACTCAATGCAGTCTAATCTCAAATCATCAAAATCATTTAAACTCAGAGACTTTGGTACATCTTTGCAATCTAACGAAGGAAAAGTATCCTTGTTCATTTCTACTTTGAGATATAATTGCGGTTTTTCTTCTTGTTGATACTTGGTACGTTTTCCCATTGCGCCTTCTAAACTTAATTTCAAACCTGCTATTGTTTGTGCATGTTCAAGGTGCTTCTCAGAATTCTGTGATCTTCTATAGTACAAATAAAATGCAGCAGCTTCTAGATTATATAAAAGATTACAAAGAGAATGTTCCAATATATTCAGCTTACTAATTTCTGTTATTAAATTCTCAGTTTCTTCAAAAAGTACTCCTGTGTCTTCATCTAACACATGTTGATGTAATAGAGTAGCTCTAAACAGCCACCAAATGCAACTTTTATATTTAAGCTGCAGATCTACGTTAGAAAATATTTTCTTAGACAGATAAAGGAATTCTGGTTTTTGTACATTTATATTACATCCATCATGCAAGGATAAATGATTGAGTGCTTCGTCTCTTCTAGTTTTCAACCAATCAATATCTTCATCAACAGGAGGGCCTGTCCAATTGTATTGGACAAAGTATAATAATGAAGCTACTCCTGTACACAGCCATGACAAATGCATATGAGTTTCAGATAAACTATTATGTATAATCTCTTCTAAATTATCACCATTTCTTATTGCCTCGATAAATGTAGAAAGTTCATTATTTATTGTATCTTTGTATCGGCCATTTAGTATTTCCGATACATTATTTGGTAAATCTAGAACTAAAATTAGAAAGAATTGTTGAGATAGAATTATACATATTAATAACAGAATTTCTACGTATTAAAATATACTATATATGTGTACTTAGAAGTCATTTTATATATTTTATTGAATTTTATGATTTTACAGTAACATGTAGTAATAATAATCAGCATACCTTTGTTTATGGAGAAATTAAGTAAAAGTTTAATTTCTATCAGTGATGCGATTTTCAACCCGCTTGCAGCACTCGACGGTAGCGCCATCTATCGGCGGCCTGGTGCAACTGGTAGCACACACAAGCAAAGGCTCTTCTTCTTCTACCTTAAATAATGGCTCCCGCCTCCAAGCAATGAAATAGGAGATCGATACGGCCAGATCACGTCTTTAAAGTAAACCGTACAAAAATATGAAAACGAACGGATGATGCAATGCCCGCGAAAATGGCGTCGCTCGACCGGTTTCCGGGCGCCTGCGTCTACGGCGTCGTCACGTCGCAATAATGCACGTCATAAGAGCCCTAGTCGTCAAAAAGTGCTAAATGACGAACAATCGAGACGAGCTCATCCGCAGACACGCATCATATAATGGAAAGCACCCGAACCGAAATACTTTCCGTCAAATGGTCCTTTAAATGCCTTATATGGACATTTCAATGGGACTGACAGACACCGACAATAGAAAGAAGAAGTGAGATAGAATACAGTGCCCTGATTGGTTACGCGCCTCGGCCGCGCATGTGCACTTCATTTTAGGCTTCACAAAATCAGGAGAGTTGCGCTACTGTATATACTGTGATACCGGTGTGGACTTTATCTTAAAGCGCCTCTATGTCTTTAAAATGTGGACATTGAACTAAAATAGCCAATGTTAATACGTCTTCTCAGTGGATAATGTCTGCGATTTTGTGGTTCTGTTCTATGCTATGATCGTGATTTTTTTTGTCTCCCCTGCTACATCCATGACTGATTAGATGAGTATTAATTAAATAAAGTATGATCAATCTTTTTGTTTTATATTTCTTTATTATTTATTATCGCGGTCCTACTTTTTAATAAAATTTAATGTAATAATGCAATGTATAGATATAGATAAAGGAGTCTCAGAGTGCCAACAATAATTTGAAAATTTTTAAATTTAATTGACTTGTGTGTGCATCATGATATTATACCTAATTATATATGTGTACTGCAATAGGATATATACTTCTAAAATAAAAATTAAACATTATAGTAATTAATATCTTTATATAATAATATATATATTATACCTATATATAGATTCTATTATAATAATGAGAATAAATTAAGGTAATGAAATGTAGTAATAATGAAACCAAAATGCCAGAAAGAATGATAAAACAATATTTTCAATGCAATAATTATTATTATTCAATTATATATTATTATTACAACTGGGTTTATTTTTCACATGCAGGTATTCATCGAATATCTTACCTGTCTTTTACGACTAATTAATATTTGATATATGTTATATTTTTAATACTATACATATATATATGTCCAAAAAATCGATTGAATTATTAACTATTATATAATAAACACTTTTCACTCGCAAAGTTGTATTAGATGATAACATACAAAAACTTCAGTCGCTCGCGAGTGAAAATATTTTACATATTGTATTCATGTTATCTCCAATTTATCAATAACCATGAAACAAAATGTGCTCTACTTTCTTAAAGAAGATTCTACAATTTTATAAGCAGTCGCGTTTCAATAACATTTAGCCAACAACTTAATACTGAAAACATGCAGAGACGCGATGAATTAAACTTTATAATTAATACTAGAGCGCATAAATATTTAAACACAAAAAATGGTTCATTCATAAATAAACTATATAAATAAACAAGATAAAAAACAAGAAAATATTCATTTAAGATATGTTTCAGGAAAGGTGGAGCAATGCTCTTAATTACAATACAGTTATTCACTGTAATATTAATAAGTATTATTAATTTACAATTGATCATTCAAGTAGAACAGGATACCGATAGGATAAAAATAAAGACGGTGTTGTTGTCCGCAAATTGTAGAACTTTTAAAAATAATTATCTTTCTCATTATTATTCTCAATAGCTTCTCTCTTGGCGGCTATCAGATTCTCCCATTGCGCGATCAGCGTGTTACGACGTCGTGGATTAGGCTACAAATAATAAAAGGTTTTTTTTATCGCTTAATAAAATATATCTCATCCACAGACACGATCCAAAGAATTATTTTTAATCTAACACATTTATTTCGGTGTAATAGTAATTAATTGTAAAAAGTGAAAAAAAACATTGCCAACCTTGTGTTTTCCTTTATGTTCTCTTTCGATTTCATCTTCATTCAAGGTATTAGTGGAAGTGCCACTTCTAAGAGAACTGGAGCCATCGTAAATATCGGAATCGTTGTCATTTCCTATGTCAAGTAGATTCGGCTGAGACTTTGCCAACATTTGCGATCTCATCAATCTAGAAGATAAACGAGATTTACACGAACCAGTTTAAGTTTGTACATGTTATAATGAAATAAAAAGGCTCCTTTACGCAATTTTTGTTATGTTTTATTGTAATGCAGCAATTTGCTCAGATAACGTAATACTTTATCCTTTTAATGCTTTCTTCATTGTAAACAAAATCAGATATTAAATAAATCACCTAAGTTATATTATTTTTTGTATTTGTATTATTGATTATCGTCACACAGAATTGGAGATATAATAATAGTACAAATCGTTTAATTCTTAATAAACTAAAAAAATTATTCTTAAACAATTATAGAAAGTTAATCGCAATCTTCCCTTTAATCTGTTATTTAAAAAATAGTTTGGACCTTTAGTAAAATAAAGTAAATTCCTCGATATGAAAACTTCGATACCTTAATTCGTTCTCCCGCTCTTTCATATCATGCAGCTCTTTTTGAATCTTTTGCTCGACAGGAACATATCCTTTCCTCGTTAACGGTTTCTGTGGCCCGTCGGTGTCGTCCGGCTCCAATGGTATTTCCAGTGTTCTATTAAAAGCTTTAATACTTAGGGGATTGAGCGTGATAACGGGCGTTATAGGAGAATTCAAACTGTCGTCGTTCGGCGAATTGTTCTTATAGAGTTTTCCCCGTGTAGCTAGAAACCTATGCATCAAACCCTTCTGGCTTGGTATGGTCGCAAAGCGCAGTGGGGTCGGTGTAGTCCGCGTAGATATCACGCCGTTCGTCATCTTTGGCGTCAAGTTTGGCGATAACGACGTCGGGCTAACTGCTTCCAGTATCTGCGGCGTGGACGTTGTTCTTTTCAGTTTTCCCGAAGACAGAGCTTGTGGCATACGGCGCACCTATACGATAAAATTACATTATTTTAAATACAAATGAATTTTCCGTGTTTGAGAGCGATTCCACGATTTCCAAACATATTTTCACATTTTTTTATCTTGTTCTTCAGGCTCGAAAATATTTCGATTTTTATATAAATATAAATATAGATGCGTGGGATTTTTAGAGATACAGATGCTAAACTGTGTTTTATTTGGTGCATTCTGAAGATACCTTGAAGTCTACCGTCTCGTGGGATGTGGTTTTAATGCTACCCACGTTCCGCAGTTCGTGTTCCCTCTCGGTGACTTCTTCAATTTCCCTTTGTATTCTGTCCGTCGCCCTCTTTAACTGCTCCAGTCTATGCTCCGCCTGCATATGCATATCAAACATTTCACACGTGAAAATATGGACCGTTTTAAACTATCCTCGAAAAGTACGAGATTACTCGAGATTAAAATTCAATGATTTCCTTATCAGGGTTTCAACATGTTTTCACGAAAAATTAAAAATATTTTAAGTTATGTTACAATAATATACAATACAATCGGACTTCTGTTTTATCAGAGAGTTTTAAAATTTCTTTACAAAGAATCCAAAAACTTCGAGACAAGGAATCTCATTAAAATTTCGTTTAAAAAACAAAGTACTCTACTTTCAATGTGCATCCGATCGAAAATCGAATAGTTGAAGAACTTATCTGATCCTTTTTACGAGTATTAAGGTTTCTAATAATTGATCTGCAGATATAAAAGAAATGGCACGACAGAATGACGTCTTTTAAATTTTTATGTCATGTTTTATACGTGTATTCCAATTCTCTCGATATCTTTCTCATCGCGCTTATACGAGTCTTGGGACTCAATATTGATTAATGGATTGATTGTAATAACTATTGATAAATAGATATGTTATTTCATATGAATGATACCGTGGAGAACGAGACCACTTTCAAAGAATTACATATGTGTGAGGTAGGAAGGTGAAAGGGTTTTCAGCGGTGCAGCAAATTGCTTCTTGCAACAATAACCGTCATCTTTGCCTTTATCGATCGCATATCGAACATTATCAGTTTTTATCTTCAGAAAAAATTATATCGTGTTCCAGTGCAACTGTCCCGACACACGTCATGCGTTTATGAAGTCATGAAGCGGATGAATAAAGCGATATTTTCTGTATACGAAAAAAATACAGGAACCTAAATTGCGATCAAGCGACAACGTTCGGCGAAATCAAGGCTATTGGAAATCGAGCGTTACTTTCGTATCAATGAACACATCGGCGATTTTATCCTGATAAAATCTTCTCTCCACTACCACTTTTCTTCTTCTTTGAGTCACTTCCGTTTCAAATGTTTACACAAAATCTTAAAAGTCTGATCTTCCTTTATGAAGAAATACTGTTGGGCTTGCAAAACTATTAGAAATAACTGAAAAACTATATTCGAATGGAGAATATTATACTCGATCCAACAGATTTTCTTTCATTAATACAATAGATACTATTTTTTCACAATTTTTCGGTAAACATCAAATATAACTGCAGGTACACTGAAAAAAAATCTGATTACATTAATTGGAATTCTGATTAAAAATACGCTGATTTATAATTCTTGTAATAATTAAAATTCTGACCGATATATATGACAAGAATTGATTTGGCCATTTTCAACCAGAAGTTTTCTCAATGTAACATAGATGTAAAATGTGTATATATTTACATAAATATGTTATATAGCTATTCTGTCTGTTTTGCTGGGAAATTTCTACGATATATATTTGTATCGGTTGTATTCGTTGATTCATAAACTTTGCATTCGCTCGGGTATATCATTAAAGGTCACTTGAATAAATTTTCGCGCGACGATTAATCAGGTCTGAAAAAGACTCCAAGGCCAACTTGAATACCTCGTCTCGGTGTCTCTTGCAAGAAAAGTGCCGTAAAAGGGTTGACGTGACGTACGAAAGGCGAGGCGAGGACAGAAGCTGTTGCTACAGCCGCTATACCGAGTTTCTCACGAGGATTTCCAGCTGTGACGCCGGTCAGGAATGCCGTCCACAGAAAACTGAGCGAGCACCGACGGAGGTAACGGCGGCTTAACTGTAATCATCGTTTCCCTTCTAAAAGAAATGGGCCACGACTCTTCCTCTTTCGTCTCTCCTCTCGGCCTGCACCATCTTCGCTTCCTTCGAGAATGTATGAGAGCGACCGACTTAAGGTCGATTACAGTTCTCCCAATGTCGATTAACATTATTTGAATTGTCAAGTCATTCTCTTTCAAGTGTTATAAGTTGTAAAATGTAGACGGATATACTTGGAATTGAAATCAAAGATCATTGAGACTCATTATAAGTAGGATAATATTTAAGACTCATAACAGTAAGCTCAAAGGTAACGATAAAATACGATCACATAAAGCTTCAATAAAATCAATTTTCAGGATTTTACTTTCTGTATCTTTATCATATAATAAATAAATCATTATGTAAAAAAGAATAATATACTTAAATTAGATTACTGCCTTGACTTTGATTGTATATAATAAATATATTCGTACAGTCATTTTGTCTTCTTCCAGATAGAGGTCTACATTTTTATATCATGCGTCAAATACGACTACCTCATTTTGATCTTGAGCCTTGTATCGTTCTGTATGAAGATCGCGTACAATATTACGTCAACTCGAATCGAATTATAGTTGAATAAGTCATTCGGCTTCGAAAGGATCAATTTTCAAGGTCTGTTATTACATCGATACTGGTTTCAACTTGCGACATGTCTAAAAATATGTAGCAAAAATTCAAATTGTAATACATTAAGTGATATCAAACGCACTTCCTGATAAAAATTCCATGTCAACAATTTGTTTAGAATTTTAAGAAGGACGCACAAACGTGAACAAAAGTTTTCCGCAAACATATGACAGGAATTGCGATGGATTTACAAATTTATTGAACAAATATTATACATATGCGAAATATGTTGTATTACAGCCTAATTATTATAGATGAAATATTACAAGTACGCGTGTTTATTTCAAATTTTTAAATTTGGACCAAAAATTTTGATTATTCTTCCTTTTACGTGTAACACTAACATCGCTTTTGTAATTAAAGCAAATTAATAAACGTTACGAAGAAACCGAGTAAGAGATATGATATCAACATCGCGTAGACGACTCAATGAAAAATGTCATTGTAAACATAGTCGCAATGTCACGCGTAATAGTGCGAGGTGGAATTAACTCTCGCTCAGTGGAATCCAAGTCTTTTCACAACCAGACCTCTAATAACATATTCCGTCACATGAATTAAATCATAAAGTAATTATATCTTTCAAGTATTTTTTTCAAGTTCCTTGTTTCCTTAATCAATAGTATTGTATCTTTTTATCTCTCTATGTCTGTACTTATTTTTTATTTTATTAATCTTTCGAGAGAAAAGATAAAAAGAATGCAATGAAATCAAAGTATAAGCGAGCGCGATTTCTGTTTCTTTACTTTAAAACAAATATAAAAAGCGATCTCACTTCGAACTGAACACGAAAAAAAAAAAAAGATATTAAATTAACAGCATTAGTAAAACATAATTTAATTGGAAATTATCTTGTGTAATTTAATAATATCTAATATTAATCAAATAAATAACATTTCGTTAAAACAAAAGTACACATGATTTTCATCGAAAATTACCAAGATTATTTTTTATTAAACTGCTGTCAATTAATGCTATTAGTCATCTTTTTCCGTGTAGACTGTCAATTCTCTCACTGCTCGAACATTCGAGATAAATAAAACTATCGTCACGATAGCAATTTATTCCGTTTAGCTACACTTTCCATATTTTACTATTTCCTGATGTCTCGTCTAGCACGCATCTCTAACTTTCCTAGAGATCCAAATATATATTTACCATCAAGTCCACGTTATACGCGTATTTCTCTTTAAATTGCAGGAAGCGTATAAGGAACACCTGTGGGACAGGCAGATCGGTTACATCGTTTCAATGAACGACCCCTCTACGAAAATATGTTTCAGTATAAATTTCAGTCTTATTCGTTTTAGCTGAATTGTTTGCTCAGTTCGTCTTTCACTTCTGCCAATGTAAAGATCACTTTAGTCTCAGCTCAACTTACTCTTCACGGCTTTTTCTAATTCTTAGAGCTAGAAAAAGGTGGACAGTTAGTTGAACCGAGATTAAAATTAAACTACATTGCGGTAGGAACATAAAACAAACTTTTAGTTCCCCAACGTAAGATTAACTTTCATTTCGATTTAACTTACCGTGCAAATCTATTTCTACTTATAGGAATAGAGAGAAAATTGAACCAAGGTTGAAAGTTAATCTTGCATTGATCAGAAACCGGACACTACAAGTGTAACTGCTATATTAACATGTATATAAATATTTCACAGCTTTATTAACACGACCATAGTTATATATTCGGTGTTCGCTAGGGTGGAGTGTTTGGAAGAGCAATCAGCTTTCCGGAAACTCTTTTTTTTACGTTTTCTTTTTTTTACAGTCAAAGCGAGGGAGAGACTCACCTCCATTCCGTGCGTTTCCGCCGGCGGGGATTCGGGAATGCAACGGCAGGCCGGCAACGACGGCGGATCCGGACTGAACCTTTTATCGGGCTCCTCCGCGGCAGATACGCGAGCGGTGCGTCGACCTCGAAACGGGGAACAATTTCGAGCGGCTTTATCTGATCGCGAGGTGCGCCGACGAGCAACGACGACGTCCCTGCTTATTATCATGCCTCGCGCCAACTAATATTACGTCACTTGTTTCAATATTTACGCCGATGGCGCGTGTCATCCGCGTATACTGGCGACGGTAAGAATCAACGTTGCGTCGCTTTCGGTTTTTCGGAACGGTTCCTCGTGCACATGATATATATTATACTGCGCACGGTAATGCTTTTGTTCCCGAAGGTTCTCTTTTCGGCGAGCGTCGATCCGTGTCGCGAGGATGACACCCGACGCGAACCAGGCCGCTATACTTCCAGCCTTCCAGATGCAATCGGAGTCCCCCGTTGTTCAATTCTTGTACCGGAGGTGTTTCCTGACGTCGTTCGAGCTCATTCATAGAGCTTCTTCTTGAACTCAATATTGAGGGAGGGCTGGCTACGAGTGCAGATTACCCAAGCAGAACACAAAGTCATCATGACAGTGAATAATGATTGCAAAATGATTACTAAATAAAAGTCACTTTTCAATCATTTACGATTCGTTTCAACGTCGTTTTATATCGTATATCGAGTTCCCCAACAGCACAGAATTTGGAGTAATATTACTGTAACATTTGTAATGTTACTGTAATATTGCTATAGAACGTTACAATGGCTGCGTTCGGCAGATAAAGAGCAGCTTTGCAGCTGTTGTAAAATTCTTTAATGCGATTGATTTCTACATTTAGATCCGTGAGAAAGAGAGTCGATCTCATGATATTAAAAGATCATAATATATTTCAAAGGAATACACCAAGTTAAGAGAAAGTAAAAATCGCTTTATTTTGACGTCATGAAAAACAAAATGATGATTTTTTTATTACAAAACTTGACTGTTTGTTAATGTTAAAAATTAAAATAAAGTCACTTTCATTTCTTGTTGACTTTCGTGTGTTCATTGGATAACAGTTGCTATTTCGCTGAACGCATAGTCAATATTGCTGTAATGGTCTGCAGTGCTATATATGGGTTGTTGTTCTGCTTGGGTAGAGACTTTATATTCGATCTATCTATGGTAACAGAGGGACTGGTGTCCATATAGATGTTGACGCTCACCGTACAGCACAAATCGCACTCCAACAATATTGCAGCAACATTGCAATGTTACAGCGATATTGCAGTAACGTCGCAAACGTTGCAGTAATCGCTGCAAGCTTCTGCGCTTCCCGTATTCTATAAGAGATACACAAAATGTCAACAAAAGATCAAAATGTCTTTATTTTAATCATTCTTGGCACCAATAAACAGTTAAACGCGTTGTAACTTAAAGTTATATCATTTTTAAATGAAGCGAAATCATTTGACTTGGTGTATTCCTTGGAATGAATTACATTCGAATTAATACTTGCATGACAGAGGAGAGAGAAAGAGAGAATACCTTCTATCGAAGGCTGTACACGCGCGTAATCGTACTGGGTATCACCGCGACGAACGCAAAGACCTCGATAACTCGCGAATAATAGGACGCACAGCGGGGCCGCGTTGCGCAAATACCGATCTTCGCCGCGGAGGTATCGTGAATGCGGTCTCTCGCTGTTCTGCTCCGTGAGACCGAGAACTTAACGAGACAGGTATCTAATAATTCATTCGACGGGACTGTGATCGCCGACGATTCCGCAAGACCGTGTCGCGTTTTCTCGCGAGAGCGTCGCCAATTTTATTCCGTTCCCGGCGCACGCACGTCTCTCTCGCATGAATTAGATCGACGGGAGATTAGAAAAGCGGCGCGGCGGCGACGCGCGGGCGGCACCTGCGATCGAGTCCTCGCCTTTCGCGATACTGCTGGTGAACTGGTCGCGGACCCGCAGGTACATTGGCGCCGCGCGAACGTCCTGTAACAGTAAATATATCGCATATATATATACGCTCGGGCGATGTGCGACATCGCATTTATCCTGATCCACCAGCGAGCGAGAGCGTTTGACTCGCCATTTTATCCGCCTCGCAAATCTTGCTCCCCGTTGGAACCGGCAAACTGTTCTCCAAACAAGAAAAGCAACAGGACGGTATATATATGCCGCGCGCGCGTGTTGTCACCAGCGAACACGAACCGGTCGCGAATGTTTGGCATTCGCACGCCGATGAATCTGGGATGTTGTAAATATTTGTGTTGTTCCCAGTTTACACGAAGGTTTAATGAAGCGACTTAATTATACGAGTCTTTTGCCGTCTTATATCGAGGAAAAACGAAGCGTACTATATTACTCATCATGCAGGATGAAATATTTATGCAAATCGGTTTTTTATAATATTTCAATAAAATATTTCAGTAATATTTGGTAAACAACTTGTAAAACGTTTTAAAATATATTGCATTAAATTGATATTACGATGTTTCACCAAAATATTTTTAAAATCTTGTACAAATATTGTAAAAAAAACGGAAACATTTCGAAAACTCTGATTTCCTGGATATATTTATATTTTAAAATATTTCATGAAAAATTTCTGGAATATTTTAATCTTGCAATGAAATATTTTGGAAATATTTCATATTATGTGGAATGTAACTTCGAGATAATTTGTTGATTTTCAAAACTTTGCTTATTGAAATATTAGTTAAAAATTAAAATAATAAAAGTGCGATTTTTATCCAAGTAGCAAAGTAGTGCTTCGAGATGTTTCTCATAAAGAAAAATTTACAATTATCAAAAGTAAAATAGAGTAAGAATTAATGCAAAGAACCCTTTTTCCCCTTTTTAAAACGTAAAAAATTGCAGCACAAATTGCAAAAATTTAATGAAATATTTTTATGTTAAAGAATCTATTATATTCGAGAGAGAAAATAAAATGATATAGTTGATACAACATTTTCGACATATTCTTTCCTTCACAGATTATTCTTATTGGAAAAATATTGTACCGGCATGAAATATTAATATGAATATATTAATGAATAGGATAACAACAGATAGCAGTTAGATGGCCTGATGGCGTTATAAGATTTTATTCTTTTGTTGAATTCTTTTGTCTGATTCGTTTTTATTCTTTTTTCGGTTTGCCGATCTTGCTGTTTGCGTCGACTTTAATTCCGAGTGAAAGATTCTGAAAGATTTCACAAGAGAAAGCTACAATTCTCCAAAACGATATTACCATAATTTGGATTGAAGGGACATATCAAAAGGATACGTTTTTTACAAGTACATTATGGTAAATATATATGTATCAATTAATGGACATAATTTTTGGGCGAAGCAACAAAAAAAATTTAAATATTAAGTTTTTAACGATATGTGTAGCTCTAAATAAATTCGTTCTTATTAAATTTTTACAATGATATTATTTAGAATCGTACATATCATTTAAAGTTTAATATTTATAATATTTATAACTTTTTCAATAATTTTCGATTATGTCCACTAACTGTACATTTACTTTATCTCTTCAATACTCTGTGTTATATATTATTTAATTTCTACAAAGCAATTAAGTATCTCGCATTCGTAAAAAGAATTTACATCGATGAGAAACTTTAATATATTATTACTTGCACTAACTCTCGATTTCATTTATTGATTTATTAAACTATATATAGCGGGTAATCGGTATGATTCATAAGGAATATTTTTAGAAATTTATTCGTAAGTACAAAATATACGTAGAAAAATACATTATATAAGCAAAGTTATTGTTCTTTACATAGTTCGATAACTTACGACGCGAATTAGGCTCGCGGTTTCAAAGCGCTATTATTATATTATGTTAATCGTGATACGAAACTGTACAACACGAAACCTCTGCGAAAACAAACATTCTTGAGTAATTTGCTGCTTCTCCCTGTCTAAATTTCTACAATATTATATTTTTGTAATCAAAACTAATGTACATAGTTTTATAGAAGATTATATAAAGATTATTTTTTTTATCCTTTATCAATATGAAATTGTAACTCATAAATATTTTAATGTTATTAGCTACGTATTTTCGTATTATTTCTCTATTTTATCTTATTTCTATTTTATCAAAAAGGCACACTTTATATAATAATAATAATAATATTTTAGACATAATTTACGTAATGAATATGATCTATACTTGTTAAATAGTTGTTAACTATTGTAATTACACTTGTCAAATTCGTCATCTTATAGACGGTAAAAATGACCTGGTTATAATATGTATAAATGCATTATATGTTAATGTCATTGATATGTTTGTCAAAGAATTGAATTTGCGAATTATTGACAGTGTAAGAAATTGTGAAAATGACAGCATAGTATAAGGACGTGTAATATGATGTAACTAGTAACTTGTCTTAGTACCGAAACACTATCGTGTCTCCTGATGTTACAAACTTTAAATCGATTTTCTCATAGCTTCCCATAATTTCGATTCTTTTACACGGGAAATTACTTCAGTTATATTATTCTTATCGCATTCTGTATAATATAATGTATATATATTAATCACATATTGGTAGATTAATCTTTATTCTTTTGTCTAAAAAGTATTGTAAGTTAATTCGAATTGATCACTTGTATTATCTACGTCGAGAAAGTTCCGAGTTTGAATATATTGCAAACTAGCAATAGTCAAATTTTGCCAATTTTTAATTGTGAGAATTTTATTAATTTTATTAATTACAGTAGATATATATATATATATATAAAGCTAGTATACATGACGCTGTATATACGTTACTGATCCTAAATATTATTTTGTAGTTACAAAATAGTCTATGGAGCACATCTAAGAGAGAAAACTACTCAAATTTCTTGGTGAATTACTTGAGTTTAGACGTAATACTTGTACCTAAAATTGCAGAGGTAGATTTTTTGTAAGTATAAGGTTTTTACAAATTTGCTCATATATATATATAATAAACTTTAGTATAAGAACTAAAGAGTCTTAAATTTACAGATCTAAATGAATAAAATTTTCAGGGTAAAGCATTAGTAATTTTTTGAAGGTCGTAAACTCATTTAACTGAAGCAGAACTGAACTAGAACTCAATTAGAACGCGATTTAATATGTGATTAGAAGGTATTTTGTTCATCAAGAAAAATGATCCTTAATTTAAATTAAAGATGTTGCTAAGAGATAAAAAAGAGAGTTGAAGCCTCATCAGGGCTTGCAGATACAATAACATCAATGTTAACTGAGCTATCATTTAATGATACTGAGGTAATAGGTTTATATAAACTTTTTGATCCTGTCTTGATTAACAAGATGGTAACAGAAAATTCGAAACTTATAAATGCAATGGTGCAAGCCATCGCTTATTGTAAGAATCCTAAAGCTAGTAATTCTCAGATGGGTAATGTTCGGAAAAGAACTGGAGCTAAGACGAGAAATCATAAACACTGTTAGATTTTAAGTTACTTGTGTGAAAGTATGAACTTCTCTTTTAATTAATTAACGATATGAAATAAAAAAAAAATGTTTCTTTGTGTTAGCAAAGTTAAAATATCACTATTATAAACTCTTTATCCACGTTTTAACTATATGTCTGCTTTTAATTGAATTCGAATTGAATCTCGGAACTTCTCGAATATAAATTTTATACACAGATAAATAGAATAAATTTATACGCTATTCTCTTCAGCATAAAAATTATATATTATTCAACATAAAAAAAACTCATAAATTAGATAGAGAATATGGTTTGCAACTTATATTTGTATAGATTATCAGTTACTAACACTTAATATGTAAATTTTTGAATACCTATAATTTAATAATTTATTGCGATATCTTGTTTTTAGAAAAAATATGTATATCTGAAAAGACGTTGTTAAAAAGAAACGCGCTAAGCTACGACATTCAAAGTGCGCTACACATAATTTATACAAAATCTATAAATCTGTGTTTTATTCATGCACTCTCTGAACTGGTGTATGTACATGAACTGGTGTACATACACGGCGCAATAAGTCGAAATAAAATAAATATACGTTTGTTTCACTTCAATTTACTGCACCGTATGTATCAATTTAAAAAGTATAAATAAAATAACGTTATAAACAACTGAACTTTGTTCTCAAATCGCATCTCATACATTTTATAATATCTATAATTTGTTCATTCAGCTAATATATAATTTTTCATAAAATTATAAATATGTTATTATTTCAGTAAGCAATCTGTACGTAAAGATATTCTCTAAAATAATATCCAAGACAGCAGAGATAAATATTAAAAGGCTTCAATAGAATTATTATAAAAATAAATTTTGTAGTAGTACATTTATGACAATCTTAAAAAATGGAAAATTTTATATGAAATTATATTAAGATTAAATAACTGTAACATGTAACTTTCTCATATTTGGCACTTTACCGTATTATTTTTTTATACTAATAAATATAAATTAATAGAATCGTATCTAATAAAAGTAATACATGTGTGAAACCAAGTTTATTTTCCGTATATGTCAATAATGAAATTAAAGAATGCATAATTTAATTTTGAATACCACTTTGGTATTAAACTTGGAAATTAATAAATGCAGGTAATTATTGCAATCAACACACGTTAATAATAAGGTATATATGATCCCAGTGATCAGATACGTACGTCTGGACACATACAAAATTTATTATTATTAATAATCTGAAATGCTTTTTTTATTACAACATTGTAATTTAATTGCATTTAATAATTATATATAACTATAGTATTATATTAAAAAAAAACATTTGAAATTAATAATACAAAGAAATATATAATATTTCTTTCTATCTTCGTTTTACGTAATTGTCCGGACATAGATATATGTCTAGTTATTGGGACGTCTACCTTAACATGTTTAAAAAAGTTATAAAAATAATTTCTTATATTGTATAACAAATAAATGCCAACGATATTAATGTTCAATGCTTACAATAATAATACCGTGCATTAATTATTATCAAATCGACAAAGATATTTTCATTAGTCCGTTAACTTCTTTTCCTTAACTTAATATTATAAAGATATAAACTATACTTTAATTTTTAGTTCATTATATCTCGTAATAAAATTGAGAAACACGATTATATCTATTTGGTTTTGCTTTCTAGATATTTAAGCAAGAATATGCAGCGTTATATTATTATGTTACTCTTTCTTTCTAAAATTATTTTATTGTACAATAATTATTGCATATGTACGATCGACTGTATCTATTACCGCGCATTGCTATGTTACAAAATATATTTTGTAACGTGATCAACATTAAACTTTACATATCTTATTTATACAAATATCATTTTTACTTTGCACACACCCATCTATCTTTTTAGAGCTTTGACAATAATACTATTTTTGTCAATTTGAAAAATGCTGTTCTTGCAGATATCACTAGATAAAATTAAAATCGTGTTTTGTTTCTCAGATTGCTTTATAATTGTTTGTATATCCTCATTTATAATATATATTGATCGATGATTGTCCACTTTCGCTTGCAATCCATGATCGCGACACAACTTAATTTGATGTAGCGGTATGGTTACGTATTTATTCTGAGCGATTAATGTACTTAACTGTTCGGAACGGACGTATAAATACTGATGACTTTGTCGTTGATCGGTTTCCTGATTTGCTTCACCACTGTCTTTCGAAGAAACATTTAAGATTTCTACCACATCAGTCGCAACAGATTGAGTTATACATTCGCTTTCTTGCAATACGTTATTTTGATTTTCTAGAATAATCTCTTCATTAACTTCATCGTACGCTTGCAAAATATTAATATTTGCATATACAACCTGTGCACAGAAAATGTTATTTCCTAGATGTTCTCTATTTTCAACATCAAAATTATTTGCATATTTAGTAGGATTTTCATTCGTGACATCGTTCTGTGTAATGACATAGTTTTCATCATATTTTTGATCATTTTCATTGGAACTTGTAGCTTCTGTTTGTAATGTTTTTAAATATGTTGGATTCTTGTCTTGTAAATCACTATCGGATATTTTCTTATGATAATCGTGCGTTTCTTGCAACACTTGCAAGTTGTTTTTATCTTGTTCTTCTGGGAAAACTGTATTTACTTCATGCTCTATTACTTCATCCTTTTGTTCTTCTTCTTTTGATGTTTCACTTTGAGAATTGACGTTACAGTTTATTTCATTGCTACACTCATAATCCTGATCCTCGATATTATCCTGAACAACATGATTCTCTTCATTATCGGTTATTCTTAAATTATCGTAAAAAGGATTTTTTAATTGCAGCAGACCATCCTCTATACTATCGATACATTCCTCATTGACATCGCTGTTCTCTCTATCAGGGTATTTACAATCTATAGCTATTTCAGTCTCTATACCATCAGTCTTATTCAATTGAGATTCCGAACAAATCTCAAAACTCGCAAATTTATCAATTTGTATTATTTCGTTTGTTTCCCAGTTTCTATTATTATCAATACCATCTTTTAGAACATACTCCTCTGTTTTATTTGTAATAATTTGCGTTTCGTCATGGTTTTCAAACCTTACGATTGTATCGGACGCGATGTTATCGATATTCATTGTAGCTTCTGAAGAGTCGCCTTTCCTTTTTCGATGAATTCGAACATTTTGAAAGTCTTCTTCTGGAGGATGCAAAACTTCACCAAACGTAGTAAGGATTTTATTGTGTCGTGTTTTTAAATGACGTTTATAAGTATTTCTGGTTTTAAACCTAACACATAAAAAACAAAATATTAATATTATAAGATCAAATATATTATATATAATATCAATTCTGTCTCTTTTTTAGATCAGAAAAACAAAGAATATTTGTGAATTTAAGTTTACTAATTTATGTGTGTGTCTATGAGTAAAAATCTAATTTTATTTAAATTTATTTATAAAAATGGAATATAAATATTTGTATAAGATATATTACTATCTATTTATTTCTATATTATAAATATATTTCTAAACAATAATTTACTAACCGTTGTCCACAATCATCACATCCAAAGGGTGCTTCTCCAGTATGCCTACGTTGATGTTCTCTAAAATGAGATGGATGCCTAAACTTTTTTCCACAATCCGTACAAGTAAAACGAGTCTGATTTTGATGAATCAACGTATGGTATTTCAAACTATGCCTTCTCGTAAAAACAGCTTTACATATCCGACACTCGTATGGTTTTATTCCAGCGTGACTTCGATAATGAGACACTAAAGTTGTAGGCGCTGTGAAACTACGAGGAGGGTCGCAGATGCGACATTGAAGATTGTTCCCTGTAGGATTACCCTTCTTCTTAATGCGTTCTATATATGCTAGTGCCATTTCCCTTTCTTCTTTGCTGGTGCCAATAAACTTTGCTTTTCCTTTAGGCTTTGTAGTTGTACATATTTCTGTGTTTGATTCCGTGCTGATTTGAGTTTCATCTGATCATGATTTCGTACATATACATATATATAAAATACTTAGAAATTTATATAATTTTATTATTTTAATATAATATTTTCATCTCTATAATATTAATTATAAAATTCTACTTTTTATTTTATAAATTATGGATAAAATTATGGAACATACCTGGTGAAGAAGAAATATTAGAATCTTGACAATTTTCAGTCAATTTTTGGTGAACGTGAGAATACTCTTTCATATGTACACTATCAGTTCCAACAACCATCAACACGATCTGAAAAAAATGTATATATGTAAAATATAGTATATATATTAAATCTAATACTTAAACATTTTTCACAATTGCAGTTTTATAAATTGTTTATTACTAACATTTTCTTCTCCTGATGCATCAGGTACATTACTGAGAGATGTTTCTTTTCTATTAGATGTCGTATCATCTAACCGTTCAGAATAACTATGATCGCCAAGAACCTTACTATCTATTTGCAAAGAATTTTTTGAGTCAGTGTCATAAATTTCCTTATTTTCCGATTTCTGGAAACATTTCTGCTTCTCATTTTCTTTAATATTAATATCGTTCAAAAATATTTTACGTAAATAATTAGTGGGCTTTTCCAATATCACATCTTTATTCTCCTTATTTAACGTTTCTTGCGGTTTCTTTATCTGTTGCATCCGACTTTTCTTATTTTGTAAATTAGTTTTGAGATTCTTATGGTTTATACTTTTTGCTGTAAATGTATCATCTGTAATAAAATAAAAATAAGTCTTTTAATACAAATACGATATAAATTTGTTGCACATAAAATTTCTTCAGGATAAGTATTAATAAATCACAATACTGTATAAATGACATGTAATAACATGTCATTTATACAGTATTAATTTTAAAATTTAAAATAAATAATAAACGATTGTTGACAAATTTCATCAAAGATTTCTTTTATATAATATTAATGACAAGTTGATGACAATACAATGAGATAATAAGCTGATTAGTACATACAAGTCTCTTTATCTGCTTTTAGATGTTCTAAATGCTTCTCTAAATGATTTTTAATGCACGATCTTGCCTTTTCTTCACTAGCAAAACTAGTATATTTCTCATGGCAACCAGGCACTAATGCACAAGTGTAAGAATATTGTCTTTTGAGCTCATCGCTTGTAAAAATAGCGAATTGCTTAACAAGGTGTGAAACAGACATAGATGCAAGTTGAGATACAGTAAAAGACGATTCTTTCCGTTTCATACTCGCAGCTTTAGGTTTGAATTGCAACGTCAGCATTGAGTTAATATGTTTCTTTTCTGAATGCAGTGTTTGAGATGCAACTTCTGCAAGTACTTCCAACAATGCCGATGGACTGTCCCTTCCTACAGTACCTGTAACAATTTTTATAATTATTGTTCTTGAATATGTCTATATACTTATAATATTGACTTTCTCTACAGAAAAAATTAAATTTCCTTAAAAAATAAATTTTCCATGACAAATTTTCAAAAAATTTTTATAAACTATGTCTATAAAACGTTCATAATAGATGGATAAAATTACAATTTTTTTGAAATAACAGATTTTATTCCACGTATTCTGGTATCAAAGGAAAGAAATATGCAAAATAAGTACATAAATTTTTTACATGACAAACATGCTACATGAAGTTCTTTGTATAATCAGTAATCAAAATAGTTGCAAAAAATCACACCTAAAAAATGTATATTTCAATCATAAAACACTAAAATCCGTGGAATAATCGCGTCCACGGATATCTGTCTGAAACGAAGCAACATCGCTGGAACGCATTTACTACACTCCGAGGAAAAATTGTTTTCGTGTGATAGCAGACGCCATAAAGACGCCCAGCAGACGGTTTTTCAGTTTACTATCTACGAGTCGCATACGCGCGTTTTTCTCCGACCTACAGACGCGCGCCCGTTTGTAATTCGGCGAAATATCGCGAGGACGAAGCGCAAACGTACCGGGATTACCTCCGTTGTACAAATTTGACACATGCTGCGAATTTCTTTTGGTGTTCATGATGGCATTCACGTTTACACGGCGTGTCTACATTCCCCAATTCCTCGTTCGCGAACAACAGGTTCTCCGTTTGTTGGCCAGTCCCTCCCCCTTATGTCAATCGTCGACAACTGCTGCCAACGAGTGAAACCGAGAATGCAAACTGCAGCCAATGCACAAGATTATTCAATGCTCAATTCCCTAGCCCCTAGTCGTATCGATAAAAAAAGTCTGTTCGTATCTTGCCTACACTTTATGGCATGCATTCAAAATCTTCGTGCTCTCATGTCTTTTTTCTCTCTTTCCTTATCTTTCTTTCATTTCTTGTTTTTAATTTTACTATTTTTATTTATCTATTTTATTTTAATATTTCTTTTTCTTCATTTTGTTTAGAACATTTTGTGTTTGTATATCATTAAAATAACTCTCTCTGTATTAAAATAATTAATACTGTTTTCTTCTTCTCTCTCTTTCTGTTTTTCTCGGATGTCTAAATAAATTTATCTCTCGTTTCAAATGTAACGTTTCGAAAAATTTCAAAAATAAATTTACAATTAATAAAATATATTAATTTATGATGATGTGTCTATAGTTGGATTTAAAAGAGTAAGAATTAATCACATATATAAATAACAATTATAATGTCCTGCAGGTAATTATCACGTAATTTCATGGATAGATAAAACTATACTTATAATCTAGAAAGGTTTCAAATTATATAATCAAAGAATTAAATGTAAACTAATAAATAATATTAATATCGTAATTATTAGATTATTACCATGATCATATCTTAATACTTCTTATAAAATTATTAATTCTTTCATTTACCATAACTTTATAAAACTAATATTCAAACAGAATTATTAAACAGAATGATAAGTTATAAAATATATCGGTTGGCAGAACTGTTTTGTTTTCTTTACGTAACGTATGTAATACAATATAGCAGGTTGTTTTTTTTTCTTCTGCAAAGCCTGTAATTGTTTTGATAAAAAAAAACAGTATCGCTGGGATGAAAGACACGAAGAAATAGGACACTACTTGCATGAACACGGCAAATAACAAAGTACCGAGAAGTCAACAGTTCTAAGCGGAAACACAATCACGAGATATCGTAAGATATTGGAAAATGTAAAGGATGTGTAGGCGGTATGTAGGTATAGAAAACAAAATTCAAGTGTTTTAAGCAATCAACCGTGAAAGAACGTATACATATAGGATATTTAAAAGAGATATATTAAAAATATACATTTAAAAAATTATATTTTTTTAAAATCAGGCGTGTCACGTGTTTTCTTTACAATCATAAAATTTTTCTGATCCTTTACACATTATTACGTTATTAATTAACTACGGAAATTGTGGAATTTATTATTTATTATTTGTCAAATATTCCAATTTTATTTTTATTTCGTGATTTCAATCTTTGCAGGTCCTATATATATATATATATATATATATATATATAATAATATTTGCGTTTATATATTGCGATATCATAGAAAATATAAAATCACTGTAACCTGAATCTATGTACATCTTCTCGACGAGGAAACCTAAAATGATCGAACGAAAGTATATCGCAACGAATCCATAGCATTCTTAATAACGTCGACGAGAAGGAGGGGAGGTTCGCCGGCGCGATCGTACGCGGGGGTGCGCACCCCCGGGGTACGCGAGCGGCAGGAGGGCTGCGAGGAAAGGAAAACGGCGCGTGCACCATCGACGAATGCACCGGCGCGGCGCGGCGCGGTCGCGACGGCGAGCGCATCGCGGGTGTTCGAGGGGGTGGATCTGCCGCATAGCGTGCGGATATAGAGTGCTCGAGAGAAACTCGGTAACTCGGTCGCGTAACGCGCGCGTCAGTCAGTTGCTATGCGTCCGGGTGAGATGCAGGCGAACGCGGCGCGCGAACGGATCACCGTTCCTGAAGAGAACTGAGAGTCTCCCGCGCTCTCATCCCGATACCGGGAAGCGACGACGACGACGGCAATAACGACTGCTATTACGACGACGACGACGACGAGGACGAGAGGCGAACGCGTACATTCACGCTCTATCCGATCTTTTCCCCGACGACGACGACGGCGACGACGACGACGGGAGCAACCTCCATGCGACCGCGGCACGATTAGACCCACATGGTCCGGCGATCGCGATGACCATGATCGCGAGCCAAGCCGCGCCGATCATCGGCCTCGTCTTCGTCGTCCTGGCGACCACTTTCGATCGCGGTGAGTTGCCGATATATCGTATACTCGGCATTCGACACGGTTTTTCATGGAAAGTTTCTTCCCCGGAAACAATGATCGACCCGTTCGTGGAGCACGATGTAGCGATTGAAACCACGAGTTGGGTCTCGTTCCTTGATCGAAATTTGCGCGATTTCTTTTAAGGAAGATCTTTCCCATTTTATCATTTTGCGCGCTACTTCTACATCTTATGACGAATGTGAGGTATCGATGTAGAAGGTATAAAACAATGCAACTAATAATTCTTATTTTATATAGTTGAAAGAAATGTTTTTACTTTGTTTTCCAAAGTATCGAAAGCTATTATAACAGTATACTGTTATATAATATTATAAATATATATATAACTTATATTATGTATTCGAAAGTTATTATAATTGTATTAGCAACTTTAACACTGCTGAATATTTGATAAAATCTGTGTTTCAAATATTTTTTTAAACACAATTTGTTTCTCTTAATTATAATCATCTCATTTTCACTATTTTCTTCCAGAAAAATTCTCGAATTTTTAATCATGGATTTAATTCTTGAATAACGCTGAAAGATGTTGAAAGATTCAAGATGCCTGTACAATAGAATGACGTCCTTACGTCAGTTCTATATTGTCTAACTTGCGATAGTTTCCATCAATGCGGCATTTCCCGGGGAAATATAGGAGATTGATTCGACGAACATTTAGAGAGAAGTTTAACTGACGGCACAGCACATTCCAGGAAAATGTTCAAGGTTTCAACAGGCACTTCGTACTTTTAACAGGAAATAATTCAGTCGAGAAATAGAGGCGCCCTAGCTTGAGTACATAAACTCAACGCGGGCAAGAGAACTCGATATATTTGATATAAATCGGACTAAATTGCCACTTTTGAACATTGCTTCGTCCGAAAGCATAGGAACGATCGATAATATGACCTCGTGCACTTTATTCAGGATTGGAATGAGGAAAGGAGTTGTATACATCACGAGCGCAATGCGGCGTAGAGGTGATGGCAGGGAAAGTTACCGTCGTAAATTAGTCGCCCAGACGTCGTCGCGGGATCATAAAAGCCCGAACAACACAAAAGCTTAGAAGACGTTTAACCCTCTGCGAATGAATCTCGAGGCAAAATTAAATTCTTTGTTTTCTTTAAGTTTTATGTCATCCTAAAAAGTTTCGAAATCATCAAGTCTGTTTTAATATTTCAATCGAATCACGTGAAAGAAAAAACACGTTACAAGTTTTAAGAAGTTTTAACATTATTCGGAAAAGAAGTTTTGGTGAAAATGGAGATCTTTAGTCTTCGAAGATTCTAAAATCTTCCGATTACAAAACTTTCGGATTTCTTTATCCTTTTTATTTTCAAGAAATTCTCTTTGTAACGCGCATTATCGATATAACGATTTGCGATTTGTACGTGCGAGAGTTTATTAAAATTTTATCACATTTTTGTTTCGAGTAAATAAATAAAGATTTAGTTTTTTAGTTCGTCAATTAAATTAGTTTTTTTTTTAACGTTTTTGTAGTTGATACATTTATATTTTATTTAAATTTTATCGCATTTGTCTCGAGCAAATAAAAGTTGTAGTTTTTTTATATCGTGTACGTTGAATTATTCATGAATGTACACAGATAGATTAGTTGCAACTTACGGACAACTTCGAACAGCGAAAAGAGTTATCGAGCTGATTACGCGAATAAAATTGTGAAATATACTTATAGCTCGGTTTTTCACATAAATACTTAAATATACTGGTAATACACAAGTCAGAAAATTAGGTCACTTAAAATGATCTTGTCGTTAAGTTTTATTGTAAATTCTTAATGTTTGAAATTAGAGATTGGTTTTAATTCCTTTTTACGTTTTTATAGCCGTTTATTTTTAATTGTAAGGAGCGATCGGGAATCAAGAAAAGATACGAGATGAATGTCTTACATCATTGATAAATCCTTTAGAATTTAGACACTTCCAGGTATTTTCGTTTCTCTCATATTCAATTTTACAGAAATAGTACAGGATTCATTTTAATTCATCTATTTTTCAGGGTAAATTGGAAGAAAATAATTCATTCTTCCGCTCGTTCCTCTTTTTTTATCATTTTTCTATGGATTTCGCATTTTTTGTGTCGCAAAAAGAATAGCGATGTTTAGCAATGTTGGCGATATTACGGTTTGCAAGATATTGGTCGATGAATTCCTACAAGGGTAGCACTTGTGGTTCTTCGGAACAGTGGATCGTTAAGATAATCGTATGTGATTATCAAATCGAATCCTATTATTGTATTAGAAAAATATCGCAATAACTATAGAATGGTTTTGTCGCTGTATTAAAAAATTTAACTAGGGACAATCTTTGAAAAAAATAAAATTTTGTTGAACTATATTAAATTAATTATGTAAAATACTCAAACTAGTTAGAATGCTATAATTTTTTTACAGCATGCTCGGCGTGCTTGAGTTTCCTATGTAATTATTTTGATGACCAACAAAATTATTCTCAGAGATTTACTATTTTTTGATACTTCAGCTAAAAAAGTATTTGGAATTACTGAAAGGATTCTGTCAAGCGTAATCGCTTAAGAACGACAAGAAAGAAATTACAATTCTCTCTGTTGAGACTTTAAACGAAATTATAAAATAATCTCATTAAATCATATTTGATCGAGTTATCCATAATTTATTTAATTGCAGATTATTTTAGAACGATACATAGAACTTCCGCATTTATAAAACTGTAAAAAATTACTACGAAAAACAAATTAATTTTTCAGAGAGAAACAGAATGAACATTTCAATTTCTGGATTTAAAGTTCCCTCAGAATACACAATAGGAACCAATAATGCTATTATAATTAAAGAAATGGAATTTATAAACAGAAAAAAGAAAGAAGGGAGGAGGAATATAATCATTATAGAGAAAACTAAAGCAAAAATAACAAAAATTTATGTTATAATTAGTATCAAGCATCTGTTCAAATTTTGCTTACACGTATTTTTTTTATTTTAATTATTTACAGCACAATTCGTTTAATTAAAAGAATCAGGCAGGTATTTTTTTCAGACTTAAATCTCATCAGGAGCGCGGCCTGGTTTCGTCGCGTTGAATTCGATCGTCCTCGATCGAATGAATCGACGTACTTTAAGCGCATTTCCCTCCGCCGACGTTGTCGATATACGTATCCGGCGACAGCGGATAAGTTGAATCCGGGAAACAGCCAAGTCTGCACAATGGATATTCGTTTTCCTGGTATGATTAGAAGCTGCGATATCGTTATCTTCTCACCCCGGGATCGTCTGCGGGTCGATGACGTAACGTTAGCGGCGCAAAGGTGAAAGGTGAAAGTATCCGGACGAAATGACGTAACTTGGTCACAATGACGCAACTATTTTGGATCTGCGGATTTCGTGTGGTCAGTCGACCATCGCTTCTGAACGAATTGTATCGCTTTTACAGCGTGTCTAATTACGATTCGTGCTATGATAGATCCTATAATAGACGCACGTTTGCGAAGCGAAGCTCGATTACTGATGCTTATTCGGCGAGAATCATCCGGTTTTCCCTTCGCCGATCGAAGTAATTGCCGATACGATGTTAACTGGCATCGGCAATCTGCTTTCGGGGTATCACAGATAAATGCGCTATATCCGACAATTTGTTGAAATTTAGGGTAGCGCCTACGAAAGCCGACGTCGTGAGGGCTATCGAGCGACCCACTTTCTCCTTCTCCGACCCCTTTCCTCTCACTTACCCCCGTCCCGCCGCCCCTTTGCTTTGCACTGTGTACTCTTAATGTAGTTTTTGTTTATTCTGCTTTTCTTGTAACGATGGTACATTATGCCCCCTTTTGTCATTTCTGCTCTATTTTTCTTTATAATGATTCTACTCCTCCAACCTCCTTTCTTTCCCTTTTTATCTTTTTTTCTAAATGCATTTCATTTCTCTAATTGCAATAGCATATTATGTGTTCCTGTATTTTGTGTAGTTGTATATACTTTGAGAGAACTTTAAATCTACAAGTTGAAATCTTTGTTCTGTTTTCTCTGAAAAATTAATTGATTTGTCTATAGAGAGAATAAGAGTGAAATTTTAATTAGCAACATAGACTTTTACTCGTTTATTTATTGCGTAGTATTTCTTTTTATTTTTTCTTTATATATTTCTTATTCTCTTTCACGTTTCCATATTTTAATTGTGCATGTATAGCATATAAATATATTCAATTTCATCAACGACGAATAAACCTTTGCTCGTCAAATAATCGCCATTCATCCAAATTTTATCCTTGCTTCACGAGCAAATGCAATTTACATAATGCAAACGAAATAAATCGCTTAAATTCACTTGCAAATTATCCGACTTCAGTGAAACCGTATGATAATCTATTATAAATTGTTCGATTTGAATAAAATTCGGTTGTTGACAAAACACTGTTGACATATTTAAGTATCATTAAGATTTTATTTATTAAGATGAAATTTTGAGACACGCTGCACGTTCGATCTTATTTGAAAGAATATTTAAAATGTAAGATAGCTTCTTTTATGCTGACTCCATAAATATTTGATTCAAAACAGATTTCCAAGATCATTTTATTTTAAATTTATAAAAATGTTCCATTTAAGAGTAGAATATTCTTCTGTTAATAATAAGTGATAATAAATGATTGTTCTTATATCGATTCTATTTTATGATATCGCCATTTTATGATAAGAATCGAAGAGTAATAACATAGTATCCGGAAATCTTTTATGGGTACAATCGTCTATAATTTTGTATCCGGTAGAAAAAAATTTGGTTCTTCGTATCGAACTACGAGACAGCTGAGTGAAGGTTTTCGCATATGTCTCGCTTGACTGTTCGATATCAGCTGGCGCCGTATCAACCTGATTTCTGTAGCCGTGGGATGCGACCGAGCGCACGTGCCACGTTATTACGTCACAGAAGAGCGAAACGTGAATCAGTCCCGATCCTCATCGTGGCTGACGTTGGTTGAATTTGTCGAGAAATCACGACTAAGATCTCTGATCTCTTAAATACGAGCCTCTAAAATATTCATAAATTACAAAGGGAAAGAGAAAATTTTAACCGGTTGCACGTAATGCTCATCGTAACCTCTCGCATAAATGTATAAAGATCAAGTTACCACTGTTTAAATTCCGTTGAAAGGGAAAATATTTCCGAAACCTTAAAAATACCTAGCGATTATAAGGAATTTTTCTCGATCTTATAATAACTTTTTGCAAATGAGACTGCAAATGCAAATGTATAATAATCGATTTTTTTTCTATTTTAGGTGAAGCGATAATATGTTACCAATGCAACAGCGAGTACGACCCCAGATGTGGCGACCCATTAGATTCGTACACTTTGGGGACTGTAAACTGCAGCTTTCAACCTCGTCTGGAGCACCTCAGTCACTTGGAGCCTACCCTTTGCCGAAAAATCAGTCAAAAAGGTAAAGTCTCTGTTTGCATTTACAAACGCATAAGTTAAACTTCACCTAACAGAAATTCCAAAAGTTTTATATAATTGTCAAAATAAAATCAGCGCTCATTAATTTTCACTTTAATTTAACTCCACACTTAATTATTATAATAATTTTTTAAATAACTCGCAACTGTAATGATTTACCGCATACATAAAAAATTGTTATTTAATAAACGTCATATAGGTGTACGCTTTGATCCGCAACTCACAAATACGTCCTACATTCATATTGTGTTTCATTTTATACGTAATGCGATAGCATTGCAATATAAAGTCATTCCAACGAATAACATTGTGACAAAGCGTTTTAATGCGATTGGATTAATTATGAGCGATTGAATTATTTATGAGTATTTTTGTTCGAAAGTTATCGATTCTGAATTAATCAAAGAGTCCATTGACAGTGGCAAAAGACAAGTTCGAAACATGAGTAATCGCGTGTTTAACTCAAGAATAGTCACTTAATTTTTTAACGTCAACGATCATCTGAGATGATTTTTACATCCCTACTTCAAAGTCATTAATATTAATGATATATTGTATATTATTGATTGTCCTACAATTTACTTGTTAAATAATCAATAATGTACGATATTTGAGAGTTCTGAGATTATTATTTCATATCCAAGTAGTAGAAATGTCACATCAGTGACATTAATTGACATAAAATTCAATGAAACTTTCGTCAAACTTCAGTCAGGATGACGTATGCGTGTGTATGTCATCTCGATCTTATCGTGACAATCAGTATGTTATTTGAATATTCACTTATTATTTTCTAAAAAAAAAAGTGAGTTGAAATTACAGACTTCCAAGAAGTCTGTAGATGAAATTAAAAAAATTAATATGATAGATTCTCGAATCTCAATAAAGGAAATAAACTGTGACTGCTAGAATATAAAAATCACTCTACAGGTGACACAAATCTCTAAATAATTCTAAATCTCTAAGCAGCGAAAAGAATTTAAAATAGAGATTTCCTATTGCAGTATACGGCAAGGAGAGGGTCGTCCGCAGTTGCGGCTACATCACGGACGCCGAGAAGGACAACGGCGAGTGCCTTATGAGGAGCGGCACCCACGATGTGCGCGCTGTATACTGCTCGTGCACCGGTGATCTGTGCAACTCCGTCGAGAGTCTCCGCACGCCGTCCCTACTGCCACTGGCGTCCCTTCTGACTGCCGTATTGGCGACACCGAGTCTGCTTCTATCGTGCCCGATCGTGCCGTCTCGTATCTCCTTCTCAGCAGCCTAATTCTGCCTAGTTGTTCTCCAAGTCGCACCCTGAGAATCTGAGATTCCATCCCTGGCCCGTCGTCGCGCCGCATGGACCGTTCGTATACCTTGGATTCATTCCTCATTCCGTTACATTGATCGATCAAACGCCAGTCGATCGATATTGTCTCAATTTCCTTATATAACAGCTATAATTTCCCCAATCGTAAGAAGATTGCGAGAAGATTATGAAAAAATCTTCTTCTTTATTTGATGAATTACCCAATCCCCATCAGATGAAGATTCGATACAGCTAAAATACTTAAAATTTGGATTGATAATTTTGGAATAATTAAAGATACTTCGAGTAAAAGCGATTAAGTAGCCTTAGATGCAACGTAGTGATGTTAAAATGAGTTAGAGTAATAAGCATGATGGATAAGTATGAAATAAAATGGACTGTGAGAGAGAGAAAGAATGGCTGTATCGTTCGCTGAGGCGAAAAGTCGCTGTTCTGACTTTCAGCCTATCAGCAATTATACCAGCTTTTCGGCCTAATTAAAATATAGCGTCAGACAATTGAGGCACGTCAATCTTCACGCCGCCAACGAAAGGAACTTCGCACTCAAGCAAAAAAATTTTTCCTTCACTTGTTCCGAAGCAGCTGGCTACTTGAATTATACAACGAATCCGATGCTGTACTTTCAGGAATTGAGATCGGCTTCTCAACGCGAGTTTCGGAAATCCCGAATTCTCGCGCACACGCATTCACGAGGGCCTTTTTGATAAACTCTGAAGCTCTGAAGCTCTGAAGAACTAAGGACGACATTCTGCTAACTTCTCGTAGATAACTTCAAATTTTCATCGCTAATAAAGAGATTTTAGATTTTAACCGACTTCATGGATGGTGTCTTCGGGGCTGCGAACGGTCCGTAACGTAGCCAGATTAATTAACGTAGCGTAACGGTGATAACTGCCAGATGCGCGAGGGCGACACACACTTCAGTAGTATACATATCTCTGCGAAGAAAAAAACAAGAGAAAACACAAAAAAGATATCACGGCCTTTGCGTAAAAGAAAAAAAAAAAAGAATTAATCACCTCTCGTATTGCGCTGATATCGCGCTTATCGCGCGATTCTTATTCGGATTCCATCGGCTGTGTCGACTCGGCTGTTTAGATAGAGAATTTTCGGATATTTTTTGCATAGACAGATTAAGAGGAATCGAATAAGAAATCCCTTCTACGATTTGTATCATTTAAATTTCCCAAATTATTCTTAATGCAGGTATTTAAAAATCACGTATCACAGTTTTTTTCCGACAACCTTACGCGGTTTTTTAAATCTCCGAAGATTCGTGGTTAAATATAGATGAAAAAATATATAGAAGATGAAAAGAAATGAGTTTTTTTTTTTTCAGAACGCATTCTTATCGATTCCTATCAATTTGTCTACTTTTGTACAGAAACGATTACCGAATTTTAAACGTGCGACAAGTGCAATATCGAGACAAAAAGAGCGTAGCAGGAGAGGTGAATATCTTATGAAAATTTACGATTAGTGTAACAATAAAGAGTAAAACACACGGTAACAAAGTAGCGGCATCGCGATAACACATTTCGCACCTCGCCTGCTACCGCTGAACACATTCGCGTGTCTGTGCATGAGTGTGCCTGCCTGTATATGCGTGTGTACGCATTAATTACGATGTACGTATATGCACGCGAAGTAAAAAAAAAGTATATAAAAATATATTTTGTCGTTGAAATAAATAAGCCAACATGGAATTGCACGCGAGATTGACAGGCATGCTTATTTTTAGAAGTGCAATGACACGTAGCGTTTGCGAAATGAAACGGGATATAATACGGGACGCGTCCGCGTCGCATCCGTTCAGCCTACCTCAGCTATCATCACGTATCATAATTTAATCGTGACATAATTTATATAATATAATTTTATTCGATAGATATAATATTTGTAAAACTTCTAATTTTAACTTAACTGTACATAATAATAATAATAATAATAATAATACACGAATTATGTACATAATACAATTAGATGTAACTATAAAAATATAGTTTTTGACATAACTACATATAATTATTTCAATTAACAATTATTTTAAATTTAATAAAAGACAGAGGATAGTGAAGATGCAATATCGAAGATAAACACTTGTTTTATTAAAAGTTAATTAACTATAAGTTAATTAACTTATAGTTAATTAATTAAGACAGTCATTAACTTATCTTTGAAAAATTACATTTATCTAGAATTCTCACGCATAATTTATTCAATTTCTTCACTTAATTAATCCACTTGATATCAAATTTTCTGATTAAACTGAAATGATCTGAACGGATACGATACATCGCTTCTTTAAACGATTCTAAAACGGACTATGTAAAAAACAGGATAATGTAAAACAAGTATAACATATCGACGATATACCGAAAGAAAGAGAGAGAGAGAGAGAAAGAGAGACCTCGCATTTAGCTCTAATGAGAATTGAAGATCCGCCGTCGTGTCCACGATTATTCGCGTGTTTCGCAAAACTTTGCAATAAGTGCAGTCTAAGCCTGAATCACCTGAGCGTATAATAATTGCTATTTGTATGTTGTGTGAATGCTTCGTATGTTTGTGCGTGTCTGTGCAATAATAATTGAGCGTAATGTTAAATTCGACAACTCAATTATAGGGTCGGTTGTTATGCACTTTCGTGTAAAGAGTTCAATATAATTTACCAAACCAAATAAGTATCTCTCTATCTCGTTTTAGAACGCATGTTGATTGCAATATAGACAAGGGATCAGTTGACCGACGCTGGGAAAGACTTTAATAATTCGTTGTTGCTCTTTTAATCGCCATTCATAGAGAAGGGAGAGTTTGGTAATAAAATAAGTTTTCGGTAAATATAGGATGTTCGGTAACGAAAGCGTATTATTATGGTGGACAATGGTCCCAGTCGGAAATTGAAGCTTTCATTGATGAAATTCTTTCATTGGCGAAATTTAATGAAATATTACGTTCTTTTCATAATTTTGAAAACTTATTTTAATAAGTACTGTCATACTTTAAATCGAGATAATTTTAGTCAAAAATTTTCTTAAAGTTCTTCGCATAATTTTGCAAAACTTTCATATAAATTTTATAATTTTTTAGAAGATTTCTCAGGTTCTTTACATTTTTCAGAAATATTGAGAAAGTTTTATCTTTCTTACAATTTTGTTAATATGTGAAATATTCTAAGATTTTTCTTATTCTATAATTTTCGAAGAAAAACTTAGAAATTCTGGAAAAATTTGAAAATTTTTAAATATATGAAAAATATTCTTGAAAATAAAGAATTTTTTATTAGAAAAATTCGTTAAAAGCCATTTTCTTTTTACAATTTAGAAACTATTTATGATATTTTTATGAGGATAGAACATTTTACAGCAATACATGCTTAAATTATAGCAATCGAACATCCTTTATAATGCTGATGCTAATAATAATAGTAATAATAATGGCAGCATATACAGCAGGTAAATGTAATGAATGAGCAATAACATAATGAGAAAGCAGATGGATTATTGACAAAAAAAATGAGAAATTAGATGCAGTAGGCGCGCTTGGTCAATATAAATTATGTCACTATAGCAAAGCGATCGTCTTTACGAGTATAATGCCATTGTTACTTGTCGTTGCCATTATCATCATTGATATGGGCTGCTCTCAGGCAGTCAAGTCTGTTACAAAAATAAATTCTGCCAAATTGCAAATTTTGTTGGCAAAAAAGTTACGAATCTGGCATATCCAAGACTACTGACAAAATGATGATAGAAAGACAGAATTATAGCAATATTTATTAATAGTAACATATGTCAAATTGACAGCTGAAATCAAGCAGACGTTGATGTACTTTATTATAATTTATTGTATATTGAAAATGAAATTAAAGCGTTCAACAGATTCTACTTGGTTTCTGCCGCCGATTTGTTATCCAGTCACGTCAGCAGATTTAGTCAGCAAAATACGAGCCTAATGCGAACATAGGTAATGCCAATTCGCTAGCGATTTCCAATCGAATTTGCTATCAATCTGCTACTATACTGCGGACACAGTTTGTTTACTGGGTACTATTACCATCTCACTACTATGACTATTATTATTATAGTTATTGTTAGTAAAAATACATTACCGACCCATTGTTACAAATAATACTGCTAATAATTATCATTAGAGTGTAAATGTGGTAACAATCGTGACGAACGTGATGGTATCGATAAGATTGGGAGCGAAGAGGAAAAAAGTACGGAAGAAAGAGAGGAATTAAGGTGGGTAATAGAGTGATGAAACAAACGATTTCCAATCTGGAATTGTCATAAATTATGAATTAATATATATAAATTATGTTCTTCCAGAGATTATTCTATGATATAATTAACACTGAAATTACGTAAGCTTCATTAATTCTTTAAATTTGACACTAAACGGATTGTTTATTTCTGTATCCATGACTCCTCTCCTTCTTCGCTGTTATAGAATAATTAGGATGAGATAAACTTTTTGTTGTCAGATTTGCATAAAAAATTGGTTATGATATTGACAGAAAGAACACCGAGTCTCATAGATTTTTCAAGTATCTTTTCCTTAAAGAATTCAAGATTTTGTATTTCCTTAAACAGATACAATATTTATGTATAGGAAAGACAATATTAAAATATGAATGCGACTAAATTTCTTTATAATTGCGTGTTATTGAATGCTATTATACATTTCTTTTAATTTTAACAACAGATATATTTATTTATACATATACATTCGCAACTGATTTTATACGCAAATCTGATAGTAAGAAATTTTCTTCCAAAAAGAGAGCTCTTTTGAAAGAAAATTGTTTACTATCTCTTTCTTATTCTCTTTTATCTTCTTTGCCGTTTGGGATTAATTGTACTCAATCTCTCATTCAGGATGAGCCCAGACAATTGAAAGAAATGCGGAGTTCTTGTTGTTGAGACAATTCGCTTATATTTTTTTGATACATGTCGCAATAATAGCCGCATTGTAAACAATTGGTTGGATACGTTATCGCCATATGATTGCGGTTTTTTATATTTCAAAGGTAATGTACCATATCGTACGAGGATATAAATGTTCTGCAGTTACACATACATCACATTGAAAAAACTGTACATAAATCGATCGTTACAATTATTATGTGGAATTGCTCGCGTGACGTATATTTCTTGCATGAGCTTGAACATTAATTTCGCTATCTTGTTCAAGTGAAAAAAATATTGCAATTGTCGAATGATCAGATAATGCTCCACCGCACTTTATCGACTAAAAAGGAAAGAAAGTAAAAGTTACTGTTGCATTATAGAACAGAAAACATGAGTCTCTCTATAGTTATTATAAAAAAATAGCTGTCGTATATCTTGAAAGTAGCGACACATAGTTTTTATTAGAGAGAGAAACCTAAGCACGATTGTCTTGACTTTTTTCATAGAACTATCAAAATTCATATACTACTCCGTCACCATCCACTTTAACATGTGGCATTAGATATCCGCACGGAAATAATTGTTTTACTAAAATATCTAAAAATTTAGCTAAACAAACCTGAAAATAAATTTTGAACTATCACAATAATTACGTAAGGGCGCTTAAATAATTGCTAGAATGTCAAAAAATGCTACTTTTTGTAGTATTGTTCATTATATTTGGGTTTTCTACGTAATTATTTTGATAGTCCAACAAAATTATTTTCAAATCTCCTAAATTTTTAGATACTTTAATAAAATTTCTTCTGTGCACTAAGAGATATCCACCTCAGTGGATACTTAGTGGTACCCTTCAATGGATTCCTAGTGGCATATAATAAAATAGATGTTCCGGTAATAGTATGTTAAATTTTGATGATTCTATGAAAAAAGGAGGAATGATCGTTTTCAAGATTCTCTCTGCTATTATATAATATTATAACATAAAGTATATTACGTGCATTTAAAAAATATTGTTATATGAAATTTTTTTAGTTATAGGTCGCTGTTTTCAAGTTGGAGTAACACCTCCCCATAAAAATATTGCACTTTGAATTACGTGCGAAATTAATGATACATTGCATCGATTAAGATCGGCTTCAATAGTATATTATATTTTGAAACAAATTTAAGAAAAAAATTCCAAGATTTTTGCCATACAGCTACCGTTGCCTGCGACACGTATCGAAAGAATGCGTAAATCTCAAGCCTCATTGTTCGTAATGATCATCATCGAATGACATTACAATATCATATATCATGTACAGAGAAAAAAAGAAAAAAGTATTCTGCCAATAATAAAGTGTTGAACGATTAATAAAAGTAATGTGTTTCTTCACGCGATAATATCTTTTTTTAAATGCGTTTTCTATGTCGTAGTGTTACAATCATTACTTTTTATCAAAAGTAGCGATTGAGGCTACGAAACGATATTTAATTCCAAAATTTATATGTAAAAAAAGTATTATTGGTAAATTGATTATGTTAATTTATAATTTCCGTACAAATACTGAAAAGATCATTTTATAAAGGTAAGTATAAGAATTTATGTAAAGTGTGTGCTTATATTTTTATTAACTTTACCGAACAGTTGTCGTAGTAAGAAAATCTTTTACAAAAAGAAAATGCTACAAAATCTTTTGCGTATTATGAAAGTTAGTTCGAACATACGCATCAGTTTCGCTCATTTTTGTAGATATAAAAAGGCACCAGAATCGAAGAAAACTCTTTATTGATAGGAAGACGGAGGAGCGTTCGATCGTTTTCCTAAATAATATGTTCAAATTAAATATTAAGGTTTTCTATTTTAACTGTTCTTACAATAGAGGATATAACGTAAAAAACAGAAAATTTCATATTCTTTAATAAAACTTTGAATATGTAAACAAATACCTAATACTGCTAAGTATA